GTTGGCCAGAGAGGCTTCCTTTTCTTAGTCAGTGCCTATTCTCATACTTTGCCTGCATTTTGTTGGGCTTTGGGCCTTTTATTATTTTTCTTTGATAGAAACAGAGTCCCACTATGTTGCCCAGGCTGGCCTCAAACTCCCGGACTCAAGTGATCCTCCCATGTGGCCTTCCAAAGCACTGGGGTTAGAGGTGTGAGCACTGCACTGGGCAAATTGTTAATACATTTTTGTAGAGCACAGCCATTATCCCTTCATCTCTCATTTGCATAGCAAATATTTATTCCAAATTTGTTTTTTTCATTAACTTGGTAGTATCTTTTACAGTTTAATTTATTTAAAAATTTTATAATTCTATGTGTCTGTATTCTCTTCTATTACTTTTACATAGCTAGCTTGTATATTCATTTCCTGTGGCTCCTGTTAACAAATGACTATAGACTTTTGGGGGTAAGAAACAGAAATTTATTTTCTTACACTCCTGGAGTTAAGAAGTCTGAAATCAGCTTTTCTGGTTCAAAACCAAGACGTCATAGGGTGATGCTCCCTCCAGCGGCTCCAGAAGCTACCAGCATTCCTTGTCTGTCCCAGTTTTTGGTGGCCTCTGGCATCCCTTGGCTTGCTGCCACACCTTCCAGCCTCCGGGCCTGCATCTTCCGATCTCTTCCTGCGCCATCGTCACAGTGCCTTTTCCTCCACTTGTGTCAGATCCCTTCTGCCCATCTCTTATAAGCATACTTGTGATTGTGTTTGGGATTATCCTCGGATAATCAAGGATAATCCCCCATCATAAGAACCTTAATTTAATAATATCTGCAAAGACCCTATTTCCAAATAAGGAAACATTAACAGATTCTGATTCAGACCCATGATCTTTGGGGAGCTATTATTTAGCCTGATAACAGCTTGATTAAGGTTTCCCCATCCCAAGGCAGTACATGTAATTGCCTAGATTTTTTTTTTTTTTTTTTGGAAAGTATTGGTGTGTACTAATTCTGACTGGGAACAGATTTTTATTTGTAATATAATATAGGGGTCCCTTTATATGTGCCAGATTAACCTTTTTAACTTTTCCCAACTGAATTAAAATAGTATCTTTTTATTGATAAAAATCTTGCATCTGTTCACAATAAAAAAGACTTGGAACCAACCCAAATACCCATCAATGATAGACTGGACAAAGAAAATGTAACACATACACACCATGGAATACTATGCAGCCATAAAAAAGAGTGAGTTCATGTCCTTTGCAGGGACATGGATGAAGCTGGAAACCATCATTTCATCAAATTAGCACAAGAACAGAAAACCAGACACCACATGTTCTCACTCATTAGTGGGAGTTGAACAATGAGAACACATGGACACAGGGAGGGGAACATCACACCCTAAGGCCTTGTCATGGGATGGGGGCAAGAGGAGGGAGAACATTAGGGCAAATGCCTAAAGCATGTGGGGCTTAAAAGCTAGATGAAGGTTGACAGGTGCAGCAAACCACCATGGCACATGTATCCCAGAACTTAAAGTAAAAATTAAACAAAAATACATTGTGCACACCATTTCTGGATTATTTATTAAGTTCCCTTATATATTTATACATTCCTATGCCTCCACCGTATTAATATGATGAATATAATGTTATAGTATTTTTTAAATAATATTGAAGGTGTTTATGGTTATAAATTTCTCTTCCACACCTGCTGTCGGCTCCTTTCGTGGTTTTGCTCTAAGGTACCCCTGTATTCATAGCTTTCTAGAGAAGGCATACATTTACTTTTCTTCTTTGGTGTAAGGATAATCTAAGAATGAGTTTTATATTTCCAAGTAGCTGAGATTTGTTTTATACTCACAAAACATGCAAAATTACCGGCTGGGGAGATAACATGTTGAAGATGAGAGATTTAATAGAAATTCTACCTCAAGCCTAAGTATAGAAATTCTACCCAAGCCCAAGATCATTACAGTGAGCACTATAATTAAAAATTGTAGGATTCCTTGGTATAAGTAATCAGCACATACTAAAAGTAAAAATAAGCTTTATTTAATGACAGTCTGCCAGTATCTGTGGATTTTGGAATTTCTATTTTCATTCATGTGTGAGAGTTCTGGTTGTCTTTAAGTCCCACAAAAATAACACAGTGGAGATCAATTTAAGGCACAGAGCCAGAAATACAGATAAGTTAGATGGTCTCTTGAATGCTTCATTGGTGCCAAATAGATTCTGTTAACTAAGAGGAAAAATAAATGAATTCGCCAAAAAAATACCAGCCCACCGACCATGGGGCCTCACAAAACACATAGAGTGTTTGTTTGTATGAAAGGGAAAAATATAAACAACTTACATGACTATGTGATGACCACGAGTCTAGGTTCTAGAAATCTGGGCCATGCAGACATCACCAAACCTTCAATGGGGTAAGAGTAGAGTGGTCTCCTTGGAGAAGTGCCAGAGCTGACAGGGAAGCATTGTTGGTGTTAACTCTGTCTGCAGAAGAAACACAGAGCCCCTTGATGTGGATTTTGCCTCCTATCATGTCCCTGAGCCTCTCACCGTCCAAGCCCATACCTCTACACAGTAAATTTAAAATTTACGTAGACACTGAAATCAGCCCCTATTTTTTTTCTTTCCTCTCCTTCTCTGTCTCTTTCTCTCACCCTCCCTCTCCCCTCCTGCCTCTTTTTTCTTTTTTAATTTTTGGAGGCAGGGTCTGGCTGTGTCCCTCAGGCTGGAGTGCAGTGGCACAATCATGGCTTACTGCTTCCTCAGACTCCCAGGCTCAAGACGACCTCATCCTCCTGAGCAGCAGGGACTACAGGCATGCACCATCAGGCCTGGCTATTGTTTTTTTCACCTTTTTGTAGAGACAGGGTCCCCCTATATTGCCCAAGCTGGTCTCAAACTCCTGGGCTCAAGCGATTCTTCCACCCTGGCCTCCCAAAGCACTGGGATTACCAGGATGAGCTTGACCTCTGCCTCTTTTTCAAATAAGGAGTTAGTAACTCTCTGATGCACTCAACATATCATGCCGGAATACCTGGTTTGTGGTGAGGCTTCCTCCAGACTTTTGGACTACAGAGGAATTTAATCGCTTTTGATGCGCTCTACTTTGAGCAACTTTTATTTCTAAAAAACTTCCACTGTCTCCTCCAGCACCCTCAGGTTACAGAACAATGACTGTGCCAGCCAGCTCCTGTGCCAAACACTCCTGCCTGCTGCCAGCTGTCACCTCAGCACGGGCACACCACCTTCTTTCTCCTAGCACCCCAAAGCTTCAGCGTCTTCATCTTCAGCTTCTCTCTTTTCTTTCTTTTTTTTTCTTTCTTTTTTGAGATGGAGTCTCACTCTGTGGCCCAGGATGCAGTGCAGTGGCATGAACTCAGCTCACTGTAACCTCCGCCTCCTGAGTTCCAGCGATTCTCCTGCCTCAGCCTGCCAAGTAGCTGGGATTACAGGCGCCCACCACCATCCCCAGCTAATTTTCATATTTTTAGTAGAGATGGGGTTTCCCCATGTCGACCAGGCTGGTCTCAAACTCCTGACCCCAAGTGATCTGCCCGTCTCAGCCTCCCAAAGTGCTGGGGTTACAGGTGTGAACCAACACGCCCAGCCAGCTTCTCCCTGTTCTAAGACTGGATTGCAGGAATCACTGGTCTGCCTCCACATTTCTACCATTCCCTCTTCCCAGTCACTAAACCCATTCCATATCATTATCCACAGTCCATTCTTACCACAGTAAGATAAGACCTTGCCACTCTGGGGCCATTAAGACCAAAGCCTTATTCTCTGCTTAGCTCCTGAAAGCATTTGAGTTTGTGACCCAACAGCAGAAAAACTAAAAAATCAATGCAAAGAGACCATTTTTTCTTATGATAAGGAGATGATGGTCTATTAAAACATACAAAGGATGATAAACAGGATAATGGTGCGATCCAGTGACCTGAGACAATGCAGTGACTGTGGACCTCCTGTTACTCAGTCTGCCTGAGATTGAAACTTACTCTGAAAATTACATGCTTTTGAAAATCTTATAAAGAAAACTTTTATTTGTTTGTTTGTTTGTTTGTTGAGATGGAGTCTCGCTCTGTTGCCCAGGCAGGAGTGCTCTGGTGTAATCCTGGCTCACTGTAACCTCTGCCTCCCAGATTCAAGCAATTCTCCCCCGTCAGCCTCCCGAGTAGCTGGGACTACAAGTGCACACCACCATGCCCAGCTAATTTTTATATTTCTAGTAGAGACAGGGATTCACTAGGTTGGCCAGACTGGACGGGTCTCAGACTCTTGGCTTCACATGATCCATCCTTCTCAGCCTCCCAAAGTGCTGAGATTACAGGCGTGAACCACATGCTTGGCTGGAAAACTTTTATTTTTTATTTTGCTTTTTATTTCAGTTATTTTTAGGCAGAACATGAGTTGAATTCATTAAAATACATTTAAACAACATGAATTCAGGTAAACCATTAATTATTAACCATAATTTCCCTCATAACAGCTAATGCTTAAAGAATGCTTACTTACTATTAATTCCTTTAATCTCACAAAAACCTTTTGAAGTAAATATTAATATTATCTGCATTTTGCAGAGGGAGAAACTGGAGATTAGTGAGATTAAGAAGCAGCTTGTAAATTGGAAAAGCAGCTGGAATCCAGGTCTCTCTGGGCCAAAACACAACTGCTTAATCTTCTCTGCTACTTCATGTGTAGATAATACAGACTCTAAAAGCAGAAGAAGGGTAGATTTGCATTGTAGCACTGGAATTATTATTGCAATAATTGTTTAACTGCACAATACTAAAAAAAACAGTGCAATCTGTGTTCATGCTACTACTCTATTGATACAAACTCTTTTGAAAGAATTTTGTAAATCTGTGAATATCAATTATTGAAATGCTTGCCTTTTAACATTTGAATGAATAGATTAATTTTAATGAGTTTATTTTTACCTGTCTAAATTGGTTAACATTTAGGTTTTCTGACTTTCTTTGTTTCTGAATATTTTTTCCAGGGTCAACGTCTTTTTGAAAAGTTGCTCCAACTGACCTCACAAAATATTGAAATCAAGCTAGTGAGTGATGTAACAGCTGATTCAAAGGTATTAGAAGCCTTGAAATTAAAGGGTAAGGCCAAGGTTGATATGCTACTCTACCACTGGGTGTTCTGTTAAGATACCTTTAATTTCACTTAAAAATAATATATAATTTCTTTATAACTAGTACATTTCACTTAGTACATAGTACATTTACATCTCCTTTTAAAAATAGCTCAATTAAAGTTTTTAAGTGGAGGAACTAACTATCGATATATTGGAATTTTTAAAATACTGTTGCATGTTAGTTTAAGCAAAATAATCTACTGGCCAATAAATGATGATTAACTAGAAAGAAAAATTCCCTTTCTGAACATTTCAATGGTGTGATTACAGAGAATAACCACTTTTCATCAGAATAGACACTGGATTTCTACTTTTCTCTTGCCTGCCAAATGAAAATTCTTTTCATGCTATATATTTAAAAACTAATATAGTCAGGTCCTGGAGTCTATGAATCATTGCCTTATTCATGACTTTTAAGACAATTCCGCAGGAGAACAGCATTTATATAGCCACTTTGCAATTTTTCTCACAATCTCATGAAGACTAAAAATAATTCCAAATAACTTTTGCCATAATCTTCTGTAACTGAATTGAGCTCTCATGTCCAAATAGTTTTTACTGATTTGTAAAAATTGTTACCTTGAATTTATTATCCAAACTGCTGAACTGTAAGTCTCTAAAAGAAAAGGCATGTTTGAGCCAGTGAACGTGTTCAAGCTGCTGGGTGTCCCTAAAAGAGGACGGGCACTGACCTCAGTGAGTCATTCATGTCCCACCTGATGGCATTACCTCTCATGTTTGTGCTGTTTAAACATATTGTGCATTTTTTTGCTCGTCATCTTCCCCACATTTTTAAGTGACAATACCTTCTAAAAATAGAACAGGATAGGGATCAAATAAGTGAGCCCGAGTGGCCTTTCCTCCTGAAGAAGAATTGGAAGTGGTAAAGCATATTGAAAGTCATAAACATATAAAAGACATAAACTTGGCCCTGCACATATACCTATCACCATGAACATGTTTTCTATGCACAGGAAGATAAAACACGAGATAATTCGTATGTTTGAAAAGCGACACTGTGCTACTTGGGTGCAGCGGAATATCTTTGAAAGTGCTTAGTTCAGTGGAGTGACAGATAAAATCAGTGTGGGTTAGAAATGTATTCTTACTTTTCCTATTTAAAAAAAAATGTGAAATTGGGTTTTCACTATCTGATAATTTGTTAGACAACACTTTGGATTTTTAGGAATTGATTACTTTTGGTTAACTGAGGGTCCTGTATTTGCAGATGATTCTCCTTATGGAGTTTACTGGCATCTCCTTGGGTTTGATTATCCCGACAGGATAAAAAGCTGATGATTTAGGAAGAGAAGGAGGGAGCCTAAGAGTTCTGTTACTTCTTGACTATACATCTGCAGCTCACTTTCTTGCAATAGCTGATGTTAAATCTTGTAAACGCAACCAAAAGTTAAAACTTGGGGATGTTAGGAGGCATAATAGATTTTGTTAGGTGTTGCTGAGTATTTGGTGCTGTGAACAGCAAATAGCTATTAACAAATGTACAAATAAAGGCCTGGTTTACATTTTTATTGTGAACTATAAAATCTCATGATAGTAATTGCATCTCACAGAAAATGAAGTGCTTGAATTTCTGAGCATATGTAGATACTACTACAGCTTAGGTTCTGTTGATATATGAGAAATCTTACCAAAATGCAAAAGCAAATGATTTTCCTTCATAGTAGGAGAACAATAAACAGGACTCTAATTTCTCATAGCTGTTTACTAGGTAGTGATAGTCGGTCTACCTGGCTTTTGGTGATGCATGTGACATGTAGGGTACATAGAACACGTACAAATCCTTAGAATACCATTATTGTATTTCTCTCTTCTCTTCTTTTGGTAGAGATGTTAAATGATAACAGTGCATTTTAGAAATAATTTTTGTGAGACTATTTTAATTCTGCGATTGAGTATCTTGTTTAACAGTTATCCTTTTTTTTTTTTTTTTTTTTTTTTTTTTTTTTTTTTTTAGAGAGAGGAATTCTACTCTTTCAGCAAAATTCTAGGAAGTTTTGTCCAGAAATATCCCATAAAAAATAGGTAAATATAAAATGAGCCATGAGCAATTTCAGCTGCAAGAGTTACTGAATACAGAAACTAATCAAATATATTGTGAAAAGGAATAAAAGTAGGGCTTCCCAGTAAATGGCAAAGATACAGTGCAGGTGTACGTAGGCCCAGAAAGGGCCAGGCAGGCTGGAGAAGTCAGGCAGCTGGCCTGAGGCCCCAGAGCCCCTCACTGGTGGGTGGTGTGCAGGTCATTCCTGTTCCTTTTGCTCCCCACGCTTGGCCTCTCCCCTCCTTGACTCAGAAGTTGAAAAGATAAACCATTGCTCCAAGGTCTCAAACTGTGGCTTGGAGGTGAGATGCTTTTGAAACCTAGCCCTCAGGAAGTCCTTGCACCCAGGAGGGATTTAATTTTACACAAGGGTCCCTTTAAATTCAAAATGGGTTTTGTAGTTGGATTTCCTAATTTCACTTCCTAACTGTATCCCTCATAAATATCTCAAATGCAACATGTTGACTTAGCTCACGTACTTTCTTTCCCTTCCTGCACCAATGCAACATCTCTCTCTCTACCTACATTTCCATCTGCTCAGTCACTGGTGTTGGAAACTGAACACACTCTCATTCGTCACATCTAATGAGCCACAGTCTATAGAGTCTACCCCTTTAGTCTTCTAGATATCACATTTCCTCCTCACCTGCCTGCCCTATTTCAGGTCCATTAATACTGTGCTCAAGCCTTTGTCACCTTTCCTCTGTCACCATCTCATCTTCCACACAGCTACCAAAGAGATCTTCCACCATGTGGTTATTATCAGCTTATATGCTCACCTAAATTGCATGCAGGTGTGAGGATGCCTGAAGAATATCATACATGCAATAAAAGGCACAAGTATTAAATATACAGCTCAGTGAATTTTATAGAGTAAACACATCCACGTAACACATTCATAGAGCACTGCAAGCATCTCTGAAAGCCTTCTCAATCCCCTTTGCCATCAAGGCCCTCTGCAGAGGGAACCTCTATTTTGACCACTACCATAGATAACCTTTATCTTTCTTTGAACTTTATATAAATAGAATCACAGAATTCTATGTCCAGATTCCTTGTCTCAGTTTTATGTTTATAAGACCAATACATGTTGGATATAGCAGTGGTTTGTTTTACATTATCGTGTAGTATTCCATTGTATGAATATGATGCAATGGATCAGTTCTACTGATGACAGATGTTTGAGTTTGTCCTAGTTTGGGGTTACTATATATAATGCTGCTATGAGCATTCTTGTACATGTCTTTCAGATGCCTTCACACATACATTTCTGTTGAGTATGTACTTAAGATTGAGATTGCTGATATAATAGGCTATATATATGTTCAGTTTCAATAGATATTGCCAATCAGTTTTCTAAGTGGTTGTACCAGCTTACACTCTCACAAGCAATATGTTAATGTTCTGTATGCTCCACATCCTTGCAAAATTTGGCATTCTTTGTTCTTTTGATTTTAGCCATTCTGGTGGATATGTATCATGTTGTGTCTTTAATTTTCGTTTCTCTGATGGTTAATCCTACTAAGCCTCTTCTCAGATGTTTATTGACCATTTCTGTATTCTCTTTGAGAAGATGCCTATGCAGGTATTTTGCCCAGTGTTATTTTTGTTTGTTTTTGTTTTTGTTGGCCCACTTTTTTTTTGTAGGCTAGGTTTGAATCCTTTGTTGGATATATGTATTTCAGTACCTTCATCCATTAGAGGCTTGTTTTTTCACTCTTCCGCTGATGTCTTTACATAAATGGAAATTGTTCATTTTAATGAAAACTGATTTAATAATTACTCCTTTGCTGTTGATGCTTTCTGTATCCTATCCTGTATAAAAAAATATTTATCATTACACAGTCATGGAGATTTTCTTGCTTGTTCTGTTGTAGATACTGTATTATTTTGCTGTTCAGGTTTAAGTCTGTGTTGAGTTTGGAATTTATTTTTACTTATGGTGTGAAGTAGCAGTAAAGGTTAATTTTATACATATGAAGAGTCGTTTATTGTTAAAACTTTCTTCACTGCATGTTGGAGGCATCATGGTTAAAAATTAGGTAACTATGTTTTAGTTCTGCCTTTGAATTCTTCACTGTGTTTTCTTAGTCTACTTATTTATCCTAGGACAAATGTCATACTGTTGCCTTTATGTGTTACAGATGGTGTGACTTTCATCTTTGTTTTTCACTTTTAGAACTGCCTTAGTTATTCTTGGACCTTCAGGTTTTGAAACAAAGTTTAGAATCATCTTATCATAAAACTTATAAAATTGTGTTAGACTTACACTGACTCTGTAGATAAACTTGGTGCAAATTGGCATTCACAATACTGAATCCTTTACTTCATGCCTAAAGCATGGCTACGATATTTCCTCCTGCTGCTGCTTTAGCTGCGTGTCTCAATTTTTAACATGACATAAATTTCAAAATTATTTTTCTGTCCAAAAAGTTTTCTGATTTCTACCTGCAGTGTACTTTGTGCTGTGGCCTATTTAGAAATGTAATCCTTAATTTTCAAACATTTGGAGATTGTTCTTTTGTTATTTTCATTACATATATTCATAGAATATACTTGGTATGATTACAGTCATTTGAAACTTTTAGAAAGTTACTTTATAAATATTTATCGAGATAAATTTGTTTATAAATATCAAGACTTTCTATTGCTTTCATAGAACTTTTCATTTTTTGTTTTTGCATTTTATCAACCCTTATAAGTCTTGACCAGAGGGTGAGTCTAAAGGCTGAAAGTGGAGTATAAGTGAAATGGCTTCTCATTGTCTGATACATCGTCTTAATTGGTAGACCTCAGAAACGAGCTAAATGAGATGTGAGATTGTCATTGGCATCCTCTGCTTTCTTCAAATCCACTTTCAAACAGGATGTGCCACTTGCTGCCACTACTTGGCTTACTAGGAG